TTTTTTTTTTTTTTTTTTTTTTTTTTTTTTTTTTTTTTTTTTTTTTTTTTTTGTTCATCTTGATGAAAGTTCGGCTACTTCTTAAAAAAAATTTAGAGGGAAGCTAAAATTCTGGGCGTGGCTCAAAAGGAATAGAAGAATTTTCGGGGGGATAGATAGGAATTCCATTGACTGTTGGGAAATTATTACGTATTCTACTTCTCCTTGGTGTATGACTTGTAGAGCTTTTTATAGTTTATGTGCTTTCTTCCATTCGGACTAATTGGGCGGTTTTCTACAATCAGGTTTGGTTTGTTGGGCATGATACCATCTTTTATTCTTTTGTCTTTCATATTTAATGAAAGTTGTTTCGTGTAAAAAATGATATTTCTTATAGACTGGGGTTTACATGTTCTGTTGAAGCATATATTTGGAATAGATGCCACCCTACCATTGTAACGAGGGTATACAATGTCATTGTCTTTGATCCAGTGGCTATATCCTTTTCAGTAGTCTAGGCAAAATTATCTGTGAACACTGTACAAGCATGGACATTGAATTCCTTATTAAATATCAATTTAAACGTACATAATTTTAGTTTCATATGATCAAACCTTATTAATTTTCAATGTTTTATATGAGGCATTTTTTTTTTTTACTTTTGCTTATATGCATGTATGCTTATTTTTTCCTCTGTAAGTACAAGACACATAACAGAAATCCTATTTCTACTTGCTTTTGAGTTGTACTTTTCTCTTCTTATCTTTGACATGTGAGAGCTCATTTACTCGTATTTCCAATATGAAGAGTTTTTTCTTACTTTGTAGGGGCCCACCCAATGGAACTCGCGGAAAGGTTGTATTAACTTTTGACAACAACTCTTCATCAAAAATTGGTGTTAAGTTTGATAAACTTATACCTGATGGAGTTGATCTTGGGGGATATTGTGAAGGAGGCTATGGATATTTCTGTTATGGTATTATTTTTTTATTATGCAAATTCAATAAATTTGGTTGCATAAAAATCATGTATTGTTTATGTAATTTCCCAAATGTGCCTGTTGAAACGATTTAGTAAAAGTTTACAATGTGTTTAATCAATGATGCTAACCCTTGCCAACTGTTATCGGTCATGCATTATATTTCAAGCTCTTTGTCCTTAGTTAATATTGTGCGGGGGAAATGTTGTGAAGTTTGGTTTGGGGGGCCCTGGCTTTCAAAATAATATTCTTCAGTTTCAAAATTCAATTTCACCCCCACCCCCCTTTCCCTTTGATGAAACAACAACCTCCATTGAGAATGAATAAAAGAATACGAGGACATAAAAAATGCCAAGCTCTCAAAAGGAAGCCTCCTAAAGGAAAGGGCTCCAATTCAGCAAAGTAGTATCTATAGAACAGTGACTAAAGATCTTCAAAATCGAAGCCCAATGAGAAATATGAAATCTAACGAAGGACCAAACATCATAATTTTTCCTTTTATATTCTTTGTCCCTGACATATAATTTCTTGATCCCCTTTCGTTGAACTTTGTTTCCATAAACTATTTTTTATACAAAATCAATTAGTCAGCTCCTCTCTCTGCTATCCATTGAGTCAATCTTATTCCTTAGATCGAGGATTATTGTGCATTGTCTCTCTATCTTTCTAGTGTTTTTACTTGTAAGTCTCTGTCTTATCAACTGGTTTTTTTTTCCAGAGCTCCTTTTAGTTTGTCCTTGGCCTTAATTATGTATTATGTATAAGTGTGCCTTAAAATAATTTAAGCATGTGCGATGTCTTTTCTCTCAGTCTATTCTTTAGTATATTTGGCTGGAAAGAAATTAGAGGTCCTTCTTTGACATGCAGATAGTTTTTTGGTAATGTGCATGTTGCATCGGCTTGGTTCTTGTTTTATGTCATATTTTTGCGCTTTACTTGTCTTAATGCAAGCTGATTTGTTTACAAAACAGCTATGCGAACTCTCATTACTAGTTAGGAGTAAGTTGTTTTGCTCGAATATCTATACTACAAGTTTTATCTATTAAGTTGTTTTGTTTAAACAATGTTTATGAAACCTACTTCAAACAAGGTACTAAGTTACAGATTTGCCTCGTCTGTGAGAGTGACAAATATACATATTTTTTTTCTCTCCTTAGCAACCGATCTACGTTTGGAGAACTCTGGCGTGGAAGAATTGGATAAGATTCTTATTGATATTTTATTTGAGGTAGAATTTATCGTGTTTAGGCTTGTAGTTTTTATTATTTTATTTAGAATAGTAAATTTCTGTTGTTTAAAATTCTTGTTTTATCATCTTATTAGCCTTTCTAACTTGTCTAATCAGGCAGTATTTAGTGAAAGCAGAAATTCTCCTTTCATTTTGTTCATGAAAGATGCTGAGAAGTCTCTTGTTGGAAATTTAGATTCCTATTCTACTTTTAAAAGTAGACTGGAAAAGCTTCCCGACAATGTTATAGTAATTGGCTCTCATACTCATACTGACAACCGCAAGGAGAAGGTGATTCCTATTAATGTCACTTTCCCTAAGAGTTTGAGCTTAGATTAATCTTTAATTTTATTTATTCAATTTGTTTGTTGAGACGTTTATTAACTTTCCCATGATAAATTTTCCATTTTAAATTTTTTATCCAAAAAGATGTCATTCATAATATAGAACTCTAATACCGGGCAATACACTTGAGAATGTGAATATGTGAAGATTTTCAGAACAGAATTTGAGCTGCTTGAAATAACCTTTCTTTTGAATCCTGTCTTCTGCTTAGAAACATTAAAATAGACAAAAGGGAGAGATTTTGGTCCATTTCCTATATTTGATAAAATTTGAAATTTGTCAATTTAAACCTGGTTTAATTATTTAGTTGCAGTTTTAATCCACACTTCCATGAATATTATCATGTCCTTGCTGTGTCCCAGTGGCCTGCTTTTCACGAAATTTGGTTTCTTCTTTTCATTGCAGTCGCATCCCGGTGGCTTGCTTTTCACGAAATTTGGCAGCAATCAAACTGCTCTTCTTGACTTGGCATTTCCGGTAATGGTCAGTTATTGCTTACTTAGTAACATATAACAGTTCTAGTCTCTGTTTTCTACTTTTCACGATTTTGATGCATGTTGTTGAATGTTTCAAGGGTGTTGATTACTTGTGCATTGATGGAGAAGAGATGGTTTCTAGAAATGTTTCTGATAATTATAAGATCTCACATCATCTTCGTTCTCTTGTTTTACTTCACAGACTTTTATTAAAATGGGAATTTTTTCTGTTATTTCTTGTGTTGACTTTGAATGCATGACTTTCGATAGTGTCCTATGTGTGGATAAGAAGTATGATACAAAATTTACTCAATGTACCATCCCATGTTGGTACGATGAATTGTCCATTTTGAGTAATAATAAGCTTTAGGGTTAATAGTATTCTTGTTAAAGAAGTTTCAGGATAATAAAAATCTTGACGACCTGTAATTGTCACTATTTTGTTTATGTTAAAAAGAAAATTGCTGTGCTATGATTAGGCTGGAATGTTGGTTTTGCACATGCATGATGTTGTTGTATTTTCCTGTGGTTTTTACAGGATAGTTTTGGAAGACTGCATGATAGAGGGAAGGAAGTTCCAAAAGCAACAAAACTTCTTACTAAACTATTTCCCAACAAAGTTACAATCCACATGCCGCAGGTTTACAAGAAAGGATGCTATGGTTTTTCATATCCTCTTTTGGAGATAAATTTTGAACTGTCCTTTTCTAATGGCAGGATGAGGGCCTTCTTGTATCATGGAAGCACCAGTTAGAACGAGATGCCGAAACTCTTAAAATGAAGGGAAATCTTAATCAATTGCGCGTTGTAAGCATTTTCCTTTACTAATTAAATTTTGGATGAGCACATTTATTGGCCTTGTTGATTTAGTGCTTTTAGATTTTTATCTCATGGTCGACTTTTTCAAAAGCAGGTTTTGAGTAGGAGTGGAATGGATTGTGAAGGTCTAGAGACATTATGCATCAAGGATCAAACACTTACGAATGAGAGTGAGTTATAACTCAATTTTATGAAATCCCATCAAATGCTATTATCATGGTTTCTGAGTGCTACTTTCTCATCTATTACAGGTGCAGAGAAGGTAGTTGGATGGGCCTTAAGCCATCATTTAATGCAGAATCTAGAAGCCGATCCTGATTCTAGAATTCTTTTGTCTTGTGAGAGGTCGCCTTCTTCCTATTTCCCCTTTGGATGTACTTCTTTCTGCCATATCTGTTCAACTAATTGCAAATGTAATTTTGTTTTGCATTTTTTCAGCATTCAATATGGGATCAGCATCTTACAGGCTATCCTGAATGAATCTAAATGCATGAAGAAGTCACTCAAGGTTTCTATTACAATTTCTTGCTGTTGGCTCTTTTATTAATCAAATTTTATTTTTCCCAGTTTTGACAACTATTGGTTAACAATGTTAGTAATTTCCGTACTCTTTTTGTGAACTTAGGATGTAGTTACGGAGAATGAATTTGAGAAAAGGCTTCTAGCTGACGTTATCCCACCCAGTGATATAGGAGTAACATTTGATGATATTGGAGCTCTTGAAAATGTGAAGGATACTCTAAAGGAGTTGGTGATGCTTCCTTTACAAAGGCCCGAACTTTTCTGTAAGGGACAATTGACAAAGGTATAAGTAATAATAAATATATCCTGCTAATGTCTTGTTAGTATGGAGTAATTAATGGATATCCATCCATGTATCCTCTGCATTCATGTTCTTTTTTCCTTTACCACATCCATTGTAATTTTGTTTTTCTCATTTTATTTTTAAGTTGATACTCATTTCATTTTTATCTTCATTTTTAATACAGTTTCTAAAATTTTAACTGACAGTTGACAGTTTAGTTTGTAAGTGTCGTTTTACTAATTAGTTTTAAAATCTAATTTTATGTATAGCTGATAGGCAGGCAATAGAAATGATCTCTGAGGTGAGCTTTGTGGTAAAAAGGGGAGAGAATACCAAGCCTCTCGGAGGTTTGGCAATTGACACACTCTTGCTTGTAATACAACTCTAGTTAGTGTTTTGGTTCCTATACCTCCAAGAGAGAAATGGAGGGAGGCCCACTGTCAACTATCGAGTTGCTACCTTTTTTCATCACTATCTCCCATATATTTTTCCTGATTATATTCTGGAAGTTCTTAGGATCTTTCCCATACGTTTTCCTAATACCTAGCTGATAGTCTAGTGAGAGAGTCTTAATTAAGAACATCAGAAAAAGACGAGTCATGAGCACTTTGAACCAAGAGTGCGTCTTGGGGACTACAAAATGTATGTTGTCCTGAATATCTAAACAAAACTGTCAAAATTTTCTGTCCTACCCAGCATTAAACCAAAGATCCTTGATCTGCTCTTTGAAGTCGAAACTTCCAAGGAAGGGTTAAGAATTAGTCTTGCCCTGAACATGAGAAGGCTAATTGTACTTAAAAAGCTACAAATTTGGGCAAGGGAGCAGTATGTAAACATATGATTGACATCTTCAGCAGCAGATCATTTACAGAGAGCGAATCAATTGGGCTGAAGAGCTCGATAAGGATTTGTTTTTTGCTTGTACATTATTGTAGTAACTAATGCCACCCGGGAAAGCTCCCAAGGAAGAGCAGAAAGGAAAAAATGGATATCAGTTAGAGGAAAATTTTCTTGAGTGCCAAGTTACTACGATGTTTATGTTTTTTTTAGTTGGCTTAAATATCTGCTTGTTCTTTTGCACTTCAGAAATTAAATCTTTTTTCAACGCCTTCCATGTTGCTTGGTTATGTACTGAACAACCTTGTTTGGTGAAAGAATCTCACTTGCTATTATTGTATGTGAAGCCATGCAAAGGTATTCTGTTATTTGGTCCACCTGGAACAGGTAAGACGATGCTCGCAAAAGCTGTGGCTACTGAAGCTGGTGCAAATTTTATCAACATTTCCATGTCAAGCATTACATCAAAGGTTAATGGAAAAATAATTATATAGACCTTGACAGTTTCGTGTACAGTTGTGGTTTACTACTACGGGCTCTTTGTTTTACAAATTCTTTGTCTTTCTGCAGTGGTTTGGTGAGGGTGAGAAGTATGTAAAAGCTGTTTTCTCTCTAGCCAGTAAAATTGCCCCAAGTGTTGTATTTGTTGATGAAGTAAGCCTCTCATCTCCTGTCCATCAATCATTCCTAATAGTACGGCTATCTATTCACCATACATTTTTTTTTTCTAATTGATGATATTCGTTAGGTTGACAGCATGCTGGGTCGAAGAGAAAATCCGGGAGAACATGAAGCCATGCGAAAGATGAAAAATGAATTTATGGTGAACTGGGATGGTTTGCGAACAAAGGACACAGAAAGGGTGCTGGTTCTTGCAGCCACAAACAGACCTTTTGATCTTGATGAAGCTGTTATTCGAAGGCTTCCTCGTAGGTAAACAGTTGCATAAAATGTACTAATTCAGAGCATGCTGTCTGTTCATTTCATGGGAGAAACACATGGTCTTCTTATAATCTTTTAATTTAATCATTCTTACTGTTCATTTGTCAAAGATCCTCAGTTTATTTAATCTGCAGGTTGATGGTGAATTTGCCAGATGCTCCGAACAGAGCAAAGATACTCAAAGTTATTTTGGCAAAAGAAGATTTGTCTCCAGACTTTGATTTTGATTCGGTTGCTAGTATGACAGATGGATACTCTGGGAGTGACCTTAAGGTGTGTACGCTACAATTTCTGTCTTTTTGTTGATGTTTCATTTCCTGCAACAAACACATTCATTTATGTTTTACAACAGAATCTTGTTTGTATATTTATGTTTTACAACAAAATCTTATTTATTTATTTATTTATGTTCTACAACAGAATCTCATTTATTTATTTATGTTTTACAACAGAATCTTATTTATTTATTTATGTTTTACAACAGAATCTTATTTATTTATGTTCTATAACAGAATCTTTGCGTTGCTGCTGCACACCGTCCAATTAAAGAGATATTGGAAAAGGAGAAAAAGGCAAGTTCTTTTATTATGAGTGAGCTAGTTGTTGCCACATGCTGGATTCCTTGTACATAGATATGCTAGATAACAGCGATGATTTAGTTTACTATTGTCAAAGTCTTTCTTTGTCCTGCTGCACGTACTGTTTTTTATGATTCAAAACTGTAACTTTAAAGAAAAATGGGAAAAGGAAAAATTGCCAAGCTCTTCGTTATGGAGTAAGCTTGATTGCTAATACTCGATGAGTTTGGATGAGTGATTATTTTATTTTATTTTGAATTTATGTTAAAGTCTTTCTCGGGCTGCTGCGTTACTTTTTTATTCCGATGATGGTCGCCTCTTGAGCAAGCTCATCATATTGGTAACTTGCTGTGGTTGTGGTGACAGGAGCGTGCTGCAGCTCTCGCGGATGGCAGGCCTGCTCCTGCCCTTAGTGGAAGTGAAGATATTCGGCCTCTAAATATGAACGACTTCAAATATGCTCATGAACGGGTAACAAGAGACCTCAAACTATAAATTCATCCTTTCATGCCTTTTTTTCTTGCTCAGTCTCATATCTTGAGAAATTTACCAAATCAGGTGTGTGCAAGCGTATCATCGGAGTCCGTAAACATGACCGAGCTGCTACAATGGAACGAGCTCTACGGTGAAGGGGGCTCTAGGAGAAAGAAGGCTCTTAGTTACTTCATGTAAGCTGGTATTTGTACAAATCCTCGAGTCTCTCATTAATTTCCATGCTTCTCCAGACGCCAGTGCTCACTCAAATCTAATTTATATCTCATGGGGTTCGTCTGGAAGCCAATTTCTCTAGTAGTATGAAAGTATAGGTTTTTGTAAATCTTCTTTTTCCCTTCTTTTTTGAAAGTTAGTTCAGAATGATTGGTATAGGAATGGAGCTGATCATAGTTTTGGTCATCCGCGACTCGTGTTTTGTGGCATCGGTAAAAAAATGTATCCCAAATTTGGATCTTGATTTACTTGAAGCAGAGGAGAGGAGAAGAATCATCACCATGTTCTTACATTTTCCCATTAATTCTTTGCTGGGTTGAACCAATAACCTTTGGTAGCATTCTGTAACCCTGCAGATGGAGATAAAAGATGTTTTGAGCAAAACAAACAACTTCTCATTCATCTATGTCCCTATTGCCATTGCTAATTTATGTTCCCTTAAATAGGTAGCTTTCATTTTAGTTTTCTTTGGTTAAACTTTTAGATTCCATTCAACTCACATCTACACTAGAATAATTAGTAGTTCATACTGCTTTTTCTCCTCCTTTCTTTTGAAACCAAGATGAACTTGTATTGAACGGAGGTATGGATATTTGTTCAAAATATATTATTAAGAATTATATGAATCCTCTAAAAATGAGTTTTTTTTTTTTCCTTTTGTTTGTTTGTTTGTTTGTTCTTCTTAAGGTCCAAAATTGAGTTTTGATTATATTGATGCAAACCCTTTGTCTACTCTTTTGATTTCATTTTATAGTTTTTGAAACTTCTATTTTTTTTCTTCATAATTTTAAATGAATAGGAAGTACTTTTTGTCAAATTCAATCCAATTTCCTATCTGAAATGTATTAAAACGTATTAGAACATTTAAGTTTTAAGATCCATTAGTGGTTCTATTATTCTTATTTCTTCTTTCTATATCCAATATATTTTGAATGAAAAAAATAGTTCGAGACTATAGAATTAAAAAGGGGCGTAAAATGAGAAAAAATGAAAAACGTAATCAGATAGATTGTCGAAATTATCTTTCGAAGTTTTATAATTAATCATCGTTATATTTTTCATTTGAGTAAAAAAAAAGAAACAAACTTCAAAGTTTAAGCAAATGGGACAAAAATAATTTTTTTTAGAAGCATATGGGCAAGTCGTTGAAATGAAGCAGAATCAATTAAGGCCAAAATCGAACCGAATTGAACCGAAATCAAACCGGGATTTGAATCGGTTTCCGTTTGGGCATATTGTAGCAAGACGAACTCATTTTCCTGCCTCTTAAGAAAAATGATGATTCTGTAGTTGCAGTGACGGTAGTTGACGGTTTTAATTCCAGTCTCCTGCACGAACAGATCTTCTATCCTGCTCAAAATTTGGTATATTGATCTCTAATCTCGATCTGACGTCTCCATTTTCATTGTTCAGAGTTCTTTCGAGATTGTCCCGGACGTTCGCCACAGTTTGAAGCCACCGGAGAACTACTAGGAAAACCAAATTCCATGGCGGATCTGATTCCACCACCGCATAGATCGACCAACGACTTCTTTTCGGATCCACTTGATTCTCATCCTCTCTGGTTCAAGCCCGACCTATTTCTCTCCCCGAATTTTGATTCCGAATCCTACATATCGGAGCTTCGAACATTTGTCCCATTTGACACCCTCCGATCTCAGCTCCACTCACATCTCTCCGCTCTGAACCGTGAGCTCATTGACTTGATAAATCGTGATTATACCGATTTTGTCAACCTGAGCACAAAGCTTGTCGATGTGGAAGCAGCAGTCGTGCGAATGCGAGCTCCTTTGGTTGAACTCAGGGAGAAAATTGAGCAATTCAGGGCTTCAGTGGAGTTTTCTCTCTCAGCTTTGCAGAATGGATTGCGGCAGAGATCAGAGGCAGCTTCGGCCAGAGAGGTCTTAGAATTGTTGCTCGATACGTTTCACGTCGTGTCGAAGGTAGTATGTGTTTTCAAATTTCATTTGGATGAAACATGACATAGATAACTAGAGTGATTTCAGTAGGTATTTCGAATTCCAAAATGTCGAGAAATTTTTAGATAGTTGCATGGACTGGAATGTAGAGTGTTGGCTACCAATAAACTTCCTAGTTCTCACGAACGCCGAAAACAAGTCTGTTTAGACTAGTAGCATTCCATCGTGACCTGTGTATACACATATAGGTCAGGTTGAATTTTGCAGAAGGAAAATGTGCAAGTATTTGTGAGTTTTGATCTCTTATAGCCGTTTAACATCGGCATTGTCGTGCATCGTTTGTTTGTTATGTCAATTAAGTTGTATTCGAATGCACAATGGAAATATATAATTCCGATATTTTTCTCGAAGATTCAATATGTATCAGAGCTTCTCAAGAAATTTCTTGTGCATTTCCATGTTATCATGTGTATGTCTCTTTTAAATTTCAGATTTTCTAGGATCGGCATCCTCTGGAGAATAGAATGTGAAGAGAAATGTTTACGTTTTATAAGATTGTCTTGTTCCATTGTTGAAAAAAGAAAAATCAATTACTGAGAACCTGACCCTAGAGAAAAAGCTGGATAAGGCAAGTCAAATTCATGGGAAATTCGTCGAGTCTTTGATTGATTTGTTTATATACTATATTCGTGTAAAGTAGGAAGATTGTGCCTTAAATTCAATTCATAGCTATACTCATCTCAACTATCTCAATGACTTTTATTTGTCTGTGCCTTTATAAAGCTTTGATTCAATGTTACTTGGTCTTGTTCCCTAGATCTTTTGTGCAAGTAGCTTCATACTTATATTTTAGTTGTCATTACTCAGTTGGTTCTTGATGGATGCAGGTTGAAAAGCTGATCAAGGAGCTTCCAAGTGCACCTGCTGATGGGTCAAATGGAAATATGAATTTAACAGATAAAAGTGTATCAAGTAATGGTACTTCTTTGCCTCACATGGAGAACGGAACAAATCTTCGAGAAACACAAAGCATGCTCTTGGAAAGAATTTCTAGTGAAATGAACCGACTGAAATTTTACATCGCTCATGCACAGGTCTCGTCCTACACTCTTCATTAAACTCTCATGCCATCATAGTGTATGTTCTTGGAAAGATTTTGTGATGAATTCTCTTGAAATTACATGAAGCATTAAGGTATTTGGTGTTCTTGCACAAACTGAACCAATTATGTTTGTATTCTTGCACAAGTGAAATTTACAGAACAAAGATGATTTTCTCATGGGTTAAAAGATGAGATTATGGAACTTTCAGTTTTGTCCTCCACTCTGTTCTACTTTCTTTGATTTCGACTACTGGGGATATTTGTGACCTTGTAACTCTGTCTTGCCTTTTACTTTCTTTATCTTAACATTTTGGCCATCTCAGTATTGTTCCTCATTCAATTACTAATTTAATGAACAATGTGAATGAAAGTAGAGGAGAATAAACTTGGATACCTTGTTAGTAGTCATGGCTTCATCTTAAAGATGCTTCTGTTTCCATACCTATTGTTTTTCTGTGTTATGCCAGTACAGAATCTTCCCTTCATTCAAAATATGGACAAGAGGATTCAGAGTGCCAGCCTGTTGCTGGACACGAGCTTGGGACATTGTTTTGTTGATGGACTTGAACATCGTGATGAAAATGCTATTTACAATTGCCTACGAGCCTATGCTGCCATTGATAACACCACGAGTGCAGAAGAAATTTTTCGCACTACTGTTGTAGCACCATCAGTTCACAAAGTTATTCCACATGGTGTTTCTGGCATGGATGCTGGATCATCTGATGACGATTTGGAGAATGATTACAAGCAAATGAAGCAATATATTGATAAAGAATGCAAATTTTTGTTAGAAATATCTGCTACAGGTTATTTTCTTTTTCTTGCTGTTCTATTCCCATCAACGTACAGCAATTTTGTTATTTTATGTTGCTTGAAAAGAATCCGATTACCACTTTGGGATGGTTTTAATCTTGTTCGTTACGCATGTTCTTCCATATATCATTTGTCAGTAAACCATGCATATTTGCGTTGGTCTTTTGAAAATTAGCACTTTCCAAGATCAGCATTTTGACTTTGGTTGACTATTGAGGTCAAAGAAAACTGGGAACTGTTTCATGCTCTTGCACTTTTTACGTTCATTTTATCAACTCCTTTTGTGATGATGCCTCTTGCAGTAGATTTAATAGACAATCTTTTTAATGAACTAATATGCTATTGTTGCGATGGTGTACTTAAGCGATAAACTTTTATCCTTCAGAAAACTCAGGACTACATGTATTTGATTTCTTGGCTAATTCAATCCTGAAAGAGGTTCTCTCAGCTATCCAAAAGGCAAAACCAGGTGCATTTTCCCCAGGAAGACCTACTGAATTCTTAAAGAACTACAAATCGAGCCTTGATTTCTTGGCATACTTGGAAGGTAGATATCTAACTCTTTTTCTCTGTTAATTTTGCGGATTTAAAGTCTGAATGACAATTTCAAGCATATTATTGCATCTTTGATAAAAAGATATCTTCTGCATTACATTAACATTGTCCAATTGGCATTGAAGGCTATTGTCCATCAAGATCTGCTGTTGCTAAATTTCGAGCTGCAGCTGTGTATAATGAGTTCATGAAGCAATGGAATACTGGGGTTTATTTTTCTCTTAGGTAATCAATTCAATTCTTATACTCTAATAGAAACATCATATTCAATGGGTTCAAGTTTCTAATAACTTCATTCATCATCAGGTTTCAGGAAATAGCTGGGGCTTTGGATTCGTCCCTTTCAGCACCCAGTCTAACCCCCGTTCAAACTTCATCTTCTGGCCAGGGAGATACTCAGGATCTAACGTTAAAGCAGAGTGTAGTGCTTTTAGACTGCCTGACAGCATGCTGGAGAGAGGACGTTCTCGTCCTTTCTTGTTCTGACAAGTTTCTTCGTCTTTCTTTGCAGCTCCTTTCAAGGCGAGTGTATACTAATTTGGATAGTTTGGACATGTACATATCTATTATACCGATTAACGACTAACTTGCTTGAGCCCTTGTTTAATGTGAACAGATACTCTAATTGGTTGTCATCTGGTCTAGCTTCCCGTAAGACGGGTACAGGCTCCAATCCAGGTTCTGAATGGGCCGTAGCAGCTGCCCCAGATGATTTAATATATGTGAGTATAGTGCCGCGCCAACCCCTCCCCCCCCCCCCCCCCCC